CTTTAGCCCAATTATATATTGGTACATTTTCTATTTATGATTGTTTAATTATCTACCTCGGAACCTAGCACCCGCTCTATTAAAAAAAAATTCGGATGAACGGCACAATTAAATGATAATTTAGTGCTAATTTATTGTTCTAGTCCTGAATTTTATACTCCTATCCATTCGCAGGAAATTAAAATCAAAAGTCGGGATGCTGCCTTTACGTCAAGCTAGCACTCTCACTCCTGAAAAACACGTATAATAGAGTACCGTAAACAAAAAACTCGATACACCAGCATTTTTGTGCTAATTTTGTGCTGTAAAATACTACAAGGAAATGTCGAAAATAGTGAATGGTTATAAATATACCGAACCGGTTACCGTAACTGCATAAGGTCAAAATTAAAAAGTTATATGACCATACAGGTATAACATTAAATTGTTTCTCCAATCAAATACTCATAAAATATTTTATTTTGGAATTTATTGCTTACGAAACAATATTTTAAAAATTATCGAAAACGCAGGAAGTACAAAAATACAGGAGTAAACTATATTAAACAAATTAGTTGCTGGTGCGGACTGTTGTATTAAAATAATCCTAGAATTTAGTGCTCTTAAAATATCCTGGTCCCAAATTTATTACTTACTGTTTAACTTAACAAAGTCGATCGATACTATGGCGGTGCCAGTGTCACGTACAAGAATAAAGTATATTAAACAAATTAGTTGCTGTGCTGAACTTTGGTATTAAAATGGTGCTAGAATTTAGCGCTCGTAAAATATTCCAGTCCTATCATTTTAATACCAAAGTCGACACATCAATTAATTTGCATCAATTTAATATACTTTACTCTTGTATCTTTGTGGGTTTTCGATAATTTTTAAAGTTGTTTCGTGAGCAATAAATTTTAAAATAACGTATTTTACGAGTACTTGATGATGATTTGATTTGAAGGATGATTGAATTGGAGAAACGGTTTAATGTTATACCTGTAGAGTATAACATTTTATTTTTGATCGTTTTGTTTTTATGCAGTTATACGGTAATCGGTATCGGTACATTCATAATCATTCACTATTTTCGATATTTTTTTTACAGTATTTTACAGCACAAAATTAGCACATGGAGAGAATTTTCTCTTAAAATTTACCCTGAAATCATGGTAATTGTGGGACATGTACCACCAAGAATTTTATGCGAGCTATTCTGATTAATATCTACCGTAATAAAAAATATTAATATCTATTACATATTAAAATATAAAATGTTTGATTAATTTTACTAAAATATATCTAGAAAATTTCAATAATTTTTTAAAATTTACCAATCTGCTTGGTAATTTTTATCACGTTGTTTGTAAAATGTCTTTTGTATATTTTAAAAATTCCTTGGTTGCCAAGTTGTCCCAAGTTTGTAGTGAATTTAAGGGTAAAATATAACAAAAAATTCTCTCCGTGCACAATTCTGGTATATTGGGTTTTTGTTTACAGTACTCTATACGTGTTTTTCAGGAATGGCTGTGCTACCTTAACGGTGAAGGCAGCACTCCCACTTTTGATATTAATTTCCTGCACATGCGAATGGATAGGAGCACAAAATTCGGTATTAGAACAATAAATTAGCACTGAATTAACTGTGTCTCGTATACTCAGACTTTTTTTAAATGATGAAAGTGCTAGGTTTATAGAGGTTAATTATCTTACTTTACATAAACATAGAAATAATTATGTATAATCAACGAAGTGATCATTCTGGTACATTTAACTCAATCAAGGTACAATAGTACAAATTGCCGTGCATTTATATATATCTTGCCCCATTCCATATGACTTGCCATGTTCGACGGTCAAAATATCTTTAAATAAATGAGATCAGGAAACCCTTTTAGGGAATAGAGATAGTTTCTCACAATTTGAATTGAAAAAGCATTACAACTTCACTAACAAAGTCGTATACATTCGGAAGTTCAAATACATACTTCTGCAAATGTTCGAACTATTTTACATTGTATTCTTTCCATTACTACATGCTTATCGTCTAATTGCTGTCATTTAACGATAATAAAACCTGTTTTTATTTTACTGTTAGCAAGTTTATAATCAACATAATATATAGTATATATATTCTGCATAATATATATATATACAGGGTGCCCCTGAATTCTTGGTACTTTTCTCATATTTAGATAGAACGAGCCAAACTGAGTCGAAAAGTCATGTACCATTTTGCAATTTTCGCAATAGTTGACGAGTTATTAATGATTAAAAATCGCCGTATTAGCCCGCCCTCCGCCAAATATATATAGATAGATGCAATTAAAATTGTACCGTGTTCGATTGTGTATAAGATATCGTATTCTATAAAATAATTCGTCCCTCCTCGTTTCATAACGATTAGAAAACGCTAACACGTTGAACTTAGAACATTGCGCAATATGCAACCGTGCAACTTTGTAATTATCGCTGTTATGTAATAACGTGCAATTGCAAATAACGATAATTTCAAAGATTTATTGCTTTAATAATACACGGATCGTAACTGCGATAATTACATGTAATATTTAGTTCTCTTTTCCTCTTGTGATGATATTCGTGGGTTTAAAGCGAGCAGCAGGCTGTCGTAAGAGTAGAAAATAGAAAGGACCTGCTTATTCGAATCGGCTAGAACACATTAAGGGACATTTAACTTGATTTACAATTAGCAACCGAGCGCTATTTAGAATCTCTTCTGAGCCTCTAGTCTGGTTCTGGAACCTGGTTCCCTCAGCTTAAACAGGAACCTTCGACAAAACCGGTCAAATTCTCAAAACCAGTTAGTTTACGTCCTTTTATCTTGCTGAAACAGGTTGCCAAAACGATCGGGACACGCCGAGTCGTTGCATCGGCATGGCGGTTTATACCGAGACGTCGTCCAGCCACTTATCATCAACCAAGGTGCAAGAAGAAAGGCCCATGATTATTACCCCAAGGTCGTCACGTCCGGAGGTGCACGATATTTCATCTTAACTGCGTAGTCGATGAACGGTTAATTGCAGCCTCTCCCGATTCGAGAGACTCACTCTGCGCGTCTTGGGTTATGTACAATTAATTCCACTAAACATGACTTATTTTTCATTAATATCAAAAATAACTTATTTAGTAAACAAAGCTGATTAAATTATAGGTTTTTAATAAAGGCATGATTATTCAGAAATTAATTCCTACGCGTACATTTTTCATTTAATTTTACGTAGATTTTATTTTATGTTAAAATCAATGAATTAAAAGTTTTTAATTTGAAGATAACAAAGATATTTATAATACTGAAAATTACAAAGCAACAAATAATGGCCTACATTCTCATTAGGAAAAAAAATCCCCAAAATTTATAGAAACAATTAGTTTCTCACAATTTGAATTGAAAAAGCATCACAACTTCACTAACAAAGTCATATGCACTCGGAAGTTTAAATGCTTCTGCGAATATTCGAACTATTTTACCTTGTACTCTTTTCCATTACTACATGCTTAGAATTTTAAATGTCTTTATCTAAAATGTCTTTGTCATTAAAACAAAACGTTTCTATAATAGTCTTTTAAACGTTATCTTATCGGAAAAGAAACGTTCCATCGAACGTTTTTCGGATGGACATTTTTACTCATGAGAAACATTTTTAGAAATCGGTTATAAAACACTTCGGAAAAACGTTTATAAAACATTTCTGAAACGTGTATGTATTACCTGGGATATTGTCTAATTGCTGTCATTTTCTTAACAATTACTTTGCATAACGAATTCTTTAGAAAGTGAGTAGCAATCGATATATGAGCGAGTTATTGTATTTTCCTTAAATTGATATAGTATAAAGTAATCGACACTTTCCATTGTGCTAATTAAGCTATCGCTGTACCGCGATATACGATGTTTCATTACTCACAGCGAATATAATAAATCATTTTGCGCGTATGCGTTACAAGCATTCTCTAACATGAAACTCGAACGAACGTTGACCTGATTAATTGACAGATATAGACATAGGAGTTATTATGCGAACACGCATATTTTATCTCAATCACGTCGTTACACCTGATTTAACAATGACATGCCATTATCACGCGAGGATTTAATTCGCTTTGATCAGCGAGCTGTTACTTAATCATGAAAGGTAGTTAAATGTAATTGGGAATTACTCAATCATGCCATTTGATGGATATTGAACGAATGATGATATCCGAATCACATTTTTCAAGCATGGTTTAGACAAGGGATTACGATAATATAATATAAACACTGATATTACCTGTTGTTTATTTCCGTATCTGAATCTTTAATCTGTTAATTCTCTTACACTAATCTAGTTTTGCGAGGCAGATTTTCTTAAGCCTGATTGTCTGGCGGTTAGTACTTATGATAATTTTTTCTAGTAGCCGCACTCGGAACTAAGCCGCACTGCGCATGTATGAATATAAATAACGCATACATTATTAAATCGCTGCATCGTTTTTCAAAGATGGAATTCTGAAGTTAAAATGAATTTCCCTATCAGAGAAACTTTTTTTTCCTTTAATAAGAGCTATTCCTGCCTATGTCCAACTGTTTCACAATGGCACTAATGACAAAAGCTTCTGAGTTTCTTTTAATTATGATTCTAAATGATATACTTCATGACAAATTTGGCCTCGGATTTATCGTCTAATTTTCACCCAAAAGCGCGAAGCACGCGAAGCGAAAGTGTACTCGCAGAAATAATTATATCGAGAGTTCACCTTGATGAAGCACCTGTCACTACCACGATAGTCGAGAATGAGATGCCGAGATCTCGACGCGCGTCGGCGACAACGACGCCGTTGTCATTCTGAAAGACGCCGGAAAGGAAACTGAGCCTGACTCTGATACGCAGGCACGTCACTGCGATTTTAATCGAATCCCCTCCCGCGTCCCGGACGAGGGAACGACAACGTGGTCTGTAACCGCTAATTACTTTCCCGTACTATTTCTCGCGCGCGCGTGCAAGGCTTTTTCCGTATAGTTTTTCACATTGTTCTTCTATCAGTTAACCGCCTTTTAGTGCCAGGCGTGCGGAACGCGTGCGTATGTCATGCACGTATCTCGCGTTTTGAAAATTGCTCCGTTTTTTCCCCACTACTTCGGCAAGCGGGCGTGACGGTGTGGGTGGCAAATGGCGGGAATGCCTGGGAAAACTGATATGCACGCTATTAATTCGTTGTTATTGACTGCGCCTAGGTTTAACTTCGGGATAAACGCAATAACGCGTGTGTTTCCGTTTCCACGTGCAAACATTTGCGCATAATTGAAAGCGAGAACGCAATCTATAAACGTTTATTCTATGTCTGTGACATGTTTATTCAATACCTTATCTGAGCGAGTACCGAGCGAGAAATGTAAATTGCATATTTTTATTCCAGTCATTATGTCGCGTTGGCCGTGATTTTTGCTGTTAAATCTATAGGAAATCTTGTAAGAAGGACTTACGTAAATGGAATTACAAAATTACTTCTCGAAGGTAAAAAATTATTTCACATTGGATTTCAACCTCGGGTGATAAAAAAATGTGAGCCTTGTTCGGGGAAAAAGTCATTTTCATCCTTGAGCAAAGTCATGGCAGGCTGCGGGTTAATTTCATGTTTAATGTGGATAACATTGAAGCGCGCCAGACGTTTCTAACATATATCACCGCACACGTGTAGGAGTTTCCTGCTTCTAAAATTCCAGAAATAATCGAGGAAGCTCTCTCGAATGTCAACAGTATTACGCCTGTTCAAATATCGACGGTTAATATCACTAATTTCAAAGACATCATGACTTAGAAGTCTGATTTAACAATTATACCGCAAACAGGAAAATTTAATGGAACGTAATTCGCCGAACTTTCTCTCGATCAATCGCGCAATCGGTTCTACTTCAATGCGAACGGTCGACCTGACCGAGAGCGATTCATTTTCCTGTGCGGCAGCGACGCAATCGAGGAAACATCTGACACGTGTCTTAATTTCGAAATTGCATCGGTGATGTTCCACGCGAGCAACATCGCGTGTCAGATTGATTTAAGGGCGTCATTGTCGTTATGCCGCGTGATTCCCAGCGCATAAGTTGAGAATGCTGAGAGCAATGTGTGCAATTTTTCAAAGCACGTTTCATTCTTACGTGTTCATCTCGACTTGATAATTCGTTTCGCTTGCCGTAATCTGCGTAGTCTCCGCATATTAATACTCTTGCGGGTTTCAATCACATGATGTAATTATACATGACGTGTCTTTATATGTATTAAAAAGCGACTTTACTATTTAAATAAGTTTTTTATCGCAAAGATCTGATTAGAGATCTATTCAAGGAATAAATGTGTGTTACAATACGTATCATTTAGTTAATGACTATTTAGACATGTTCTACGAATCTATATGCGTAAAGTTGGATATTTAAATATATATAAATGTCAATATATAATTAATAATCACCTATCATGGATTGTAATTGTTGTAATTTCAATTTTTAAAAATGTGGATATGAAAAAATTGAATTTCTTCTAATTGTTACACTTGCATTATTAAAAATAAGCAGAATAATTATTTATCTATGTCACCGAATTTAAATTTATCGATATTATATTAATTTGAAAATTCTCTATTAATACAAATGTATAATAGAAATAACTAGTTGTGATATATATAGATGTGTTCATTGAAAGTAATAAGACCTATCGTTTAAACTGGCATTTACTTTTTATCACGTTTATCGTTCACAAAAAAAATGTGATGTACGCCATTAAAGAATCATTACATACAGCTATTTAAACGTTTTTTTATTACATTCTGTAATGTAATTATTGATGTAATGTTTTTTTTGCGATTTTATCATTAATTCAGGTGCGCGAGATATTATCTGCAAGGTATCAACCTGAGAAAAGTCGAGATAAGTGACAAAAAATTTCCCATGAAATCCAGATGATTCTCTGAATGCTCATCGTCGTCTTGCTCCTTTCCTCATACCTGCTTTAATCGGGAAACGGCATGGTTAAACTACGTCAGATAGCGACAACTGGAACAGACGAGAGATGAGGTGGAGGCGGGAAGGTAGGAAGGAAAGAGGTCGTTCAGAGCGCGCGGAGACAGCACGATAGTCCCTAAAGTATATTTGCATTTGCATTCGGTAATTAAACTCCCTCCGTTTCTCCGCGATACTAGACTACCTCAAGCTCGTTCTTATCGGAGTTTGTCGAAGAAGAGCAATTGGTCGGCTCGTGGAATTCCAAATGGCTTTCTCGTGCCCGAGGCACGTGACCAAGTTATAACGGCCGGAAGTCAGCGAGATACAAAACTGTCTAGCGATCCGCGGTGATTAATCGTTCCGTTCAGTCAAAGTTACTCCACGTTCCATTAATTAAGTAATTAAACCGCTGTCGCTTCGCCTCCAGCATCAAGATTGACATGAGATTTCGTACGGAACAGATCGGGGAAGAGAGTCTTGTTACAATTTGCGTTAGTTACCGTTCCGCTGCCGTTTCGAGTTACGTCAGCGCGGCGTATTCGCGAGTTTGATTCGACCTCGGCAATGCCGACAATTGTTACGAGGCACTTAAAAATTAGCGTGTCCTATTTTAAAGCATTATTTGATAAATCGTAGCTTTAAAATGTATTTCTTTAGATAGCAAATTGTTGAGATAACAATTCCAATGGGACAACATATTTGAATTAATATTTTACTGGAATGTTATCCATGTAAATTAGATAAAAAGTAAAAGACAAAAACCTTACTCGGAACTATGTGCAATTTGTTTTTCGGGACATTATACGCTTGATTTATTTTTCTCTCGAACTATACTTGTGCATTGGTGTAAGTCGACATTTTTTATGCGATTACTAATATAAAGACTAGATGAAATTAGTAATCATGAATGCAATTACATGAAAAAGTGGTACGCAGAAATTCATGTTTCTCTTTTCTCTTTTCAATGTCATGTTTGAAACCACGAGCGTCAGACGTTGAACCATAAAATACACACGCGAATGCGTATGATGCTTATCCGAATCAGTTAAAAATCATATAACTTTAACAACGAGAACAGAAAATGTAGAGAAAATACAAGTAATGTAAGTAGTTAATTAATTAGGAGTAACATTTTCGTGATGTAATTCACTTTCAAGCAGAAACACGCTGCTGCAAGGAGGCATTAACCGTGACCATGTTTCATAATCATACATTATTCCGCTCACATGATTTCAGTGTAGAATTTTAATTCACGTATCGCGTTAGCCTATTTTAGACGAGATACATTTCGTCAGAATTCAGGATAAAATTCTATTTGTGTTTTTCTATGTATCGTGTAACACAACAAATATTTGCGAAGAATCAAAATGCACGCATATATATAAAATATATACACACTAAAATATACACACGTACCTACGTCAAAATGTACATATCAAACAGAATTTGGAATTCCGTTTCGAAATTTAAAAGTGAGTTGTAGATCGTGGACTTTACGAAAATTTTTCCCTTCCTTTCTCTACGGAATAATTGCTCAGAACTCTGATTGTTTATGTATCCTGTTTTTAACAGCATTCGCTTTACGAGCTTATATCTTTTACATAGATGTACAAAGATACGTTGTGTCAGGCCGGATATACCGCGCGTTTTTATTCCGCGCAGAAGCAGTCGGGGGAATCCACTCGATATCCCATGTCTGCGATATCGGCAAAGTTGGCCACGAGAGACCGAGCCTACTTGGCAGATATAATAAAAGGAGAAATATCGCAGGGGGCGGAGGCGAAAAGGCGCGAGCTGCAGCGAGCTGTATGCGCGCCGCAGCAGCCCGCGGGCTACGCGCGGGCTGTAAAATGAGAAATGCATGAGAAAAGCCGCAGGGGTAAAGGACTTACCATCGTGGGAGTCATAGAGGTAGATGATTTTCTTCCAACCGTAGTATCGCACCGTATCGATGATAGCGCGATGGTAATCCGGTCGCATACTTATGGCGAAATCCAGGAGACCCGAGGATGGCGTCAGGACCTGGATACACAGACACAATAATCCCGGTGCATTTTCGGTGCGTCCTTACGATCGTTGTGAAATTTTCAACAGGCAGCAGCCGTACGTCATCCATTTAGCGCGCGCTGCCGAAATTAATTCTACTTAGGAGGGAGAAAGGAGGATCCGTCGAAACTTTAATCTGAGCCGGTGCAATCGAGCTCCTACCACTCGTGAATTCTCTTTGAAACTTAATTCCTCGCGAATGCGCAACTGGTGCATGCGCGTAGTGATTTACTACCCCGAAATATATGCCTTTTGGTACTAATTTCAGTTGTCGAGTCCCGACTCGGCTTTTTCGCGTAAAATATTTATACGCTCTTCAGATATGCGCGGCTACGAGATTTTCGAAGGCAGGTTTAAATTCTACGAGATGTAGCGATTTAGAAATAAAAAGCTTTCTAAAGTAAAATGTGGTATTCTCTTTATTGTTCCTTCAGATGACGTTGAAAGGAAACAAATACTGTATCGCGGTATTAAAAATTAATCATCGTCCAATTAAAATGATCATATCCGCGCATTGAATTTCCAATGGTAACCGATAACACCTCTCTTTCTTGAGAGCGAGACAGCGATGCAAACGCAGTGCAGGTAAAGATCTCATGGAAATTGAAAAAGGATTTTCTCTATATAAATGGCCGTTCCTGGCGAACCGTAATTGGCCCAAAAAAAAAAGGAATAGAAAGCCGAGGCGTCGAATCAGCATTACCGCGCGATTACCATTTAAACGACATCGACGTTCGTTACGCGTACATACATATATACTTATACCGCACGGAAATATATCGCGGGAAAAATACGCACACAACGGCCCGAAATACTCACGAGCCCCGACGTTCGTCCTATAGAGAGCACAGTGCGATATCAGTTTACAGCGCGCGCGATAAATGCAGCCCTCGCAATTCGAGCCGGCGAATAAATTTTCGGTGAGCCAATTCATTTCGAAATTCATTCTTGTAATATGTATACGTATATACGTATATACGTATATCGCATACATATTTACGTATTTATATGGATGGCCGTATCGACCAAATCCATCATCATGCATC